CTTAAACACAAGAATATATTAACTGAATTCATTAATTCACAAACAGGAAGACAGCAGGTGAAGAATACCTGCGACTGGTCATCCTGCAGCGTGAGGCTCAACGTAGTCCACAAATCCTCATCACATCTTCAACGAAGGAAAACAGCTGCTTGTCCAGATCAATACACTCCATGAGCTTTGTTTAAGGACTGGAGAAGAGACTGTTTGTACGACGGCTCTTTAGGTGTTTAAAATCTGTTTCAGACCCTGCAAGAAGAGATGGTTTCAGAGATATTTTCATTTATTTTTGTCAAATATAATAAATAAAATAGTGTGAATTTGAAGGATAAATCTGTTTTTCTTCCTCAGTATCCTAATGTGAAAGCTAAAAGTTTAGAGGAGCTGCAGAAAAACTCAGTGATGTTAATATCTTTAATGGGAACTGGCTGTCACTGGTCCCACAGTCATTATTCGATTTAAGTGATTGGTTAATGCTCCAGGGTACAAACATTAAATCTGTGGAAACTGCTCTCAGTTTTTGTGCTGAACACACTTAAAACATTTTACAACACTATTTAAAAACACAATTAAACTCCTGCGCTCTTGAATGTGACTGTGTTTAACAGTTTTATCTACTTTTAATTGATGTAATTGTCCTCAGACTCATTGACATACAAATATTAATGGTTGAATTTATGAATGAATATATTAATATCAATAACAGTAAAACACGGTTTAATAAAAATATATTACATATGTTTATATACAATATAAAATTTGGTAAACAAGCGTTAATAAACTCTTTCTCATCTCTCCAGAAGAGTCCAAATGTTAGGGAGCTTTAGCGCCACCTGCAGTGTGGATCGGCAAGTACAGGAAAACAAGGAGAGAGCCCAGTTTCTTTCAAATAATTTCATATTACCTAGGTGTATACGTGTATGTGTACATTACTAACTGTGTATATTGGGTTAGAGCTACAGGTAATGTGAAACTAGAGTTCACTGATTTAAACTACGACTGAACTGAGTTGAGTTCCTGCCAAAAACAGCTTCAACTTATCTTCTGTTAATCTGATTATTATTATTTGCAATATGAATGTTTGTATTTCTTTCTAATCAGTTAATAAATCACCACAGTGATATCTGGCTCTACAACCCTTAAATATATTCTAAGTGTTTAAATATAACTACCAAAATTACATTTTCTAGTTATTATGACAAACGTATTATAGAAACTGTTCGTTCTATTTGAGTTTAGATTTAGAAAATCAATGTTTTATTAAAATACATGTACAAAATAAAAATACATCAAATGCAGTTACACTCAACATGCAGCTCAGAATACCATTTCATGATATAAAATAACAAGTTTTTAAGTATTCAGTTACTTTTCTGTAAACAAAACACTCATTTAGTTATATCTTCCTCTACCAAAGTAATGATATACATTCTTTATATTTAATGTCCACAATTACATTTTTGAGCCATAATTCAGATGATGACAAAACATACATTTTAATGCCAGATGTGTTCTGCTGAATTAAATATAATATAAAGGAGGACAAAGAAAATACTTGTTAGAAAGTAAAGCCATAAGACTGAGAGGCCTTTCCAGTGTTAAAGGTAAGAACATCACAACATTTAAACATAAAAACAATCATCAGATGGGACAACGAACACAGTAAAGAATAAAAAAGTAGGAAAACATTAATATAAAATCAGCTGTTTACATTAATCTTTGTTTATATTCTCTGTGTTGAACTGAAAGATGAATCTTAAACAGGTCTTTTAGTGTTGGTTCTTTCATAAATGTCTCCATATTTCACCATATCTGTCTTCACTCTGTCTCTACAGTCTTAGAGGATTCTGTGTCACTAAATATTTTATTATGGTCACACAGGTGTGGCCGAAAACTTCCTGTTGGAGACGACTTGTCTGAGTTGTCGCTTTTCTTCCTAATAGACGTTGTCCGTCGCCTGAACTCGTTCTTTTGCTGCATTAAAGGTGTTTTGGTCCTTCAAATAAAAATAAACCATTAGTCAATTTTATTAGTCAAAAGCAAAACAAAGAGACTTTATAAGTTTTAAAATTAATAAGTTGTCTTACTCAAGAATGAGTTCAGTTGGTTTTTGTGGTGTCTTGATCTCTTCAGGGTCTCTGTGTGACAGACTGAAGGTTGAATAAAAGTCAGTGCTGAACAAACATTGATCAATTATTTATTTATGGGTTTTGTCTGAAAAGATCTCAAACAGTCATTAACATATTAACTGTGAGACGCTGGTATTATAACAACACAGATGTTGAGTTCAAATAAAAAAATAAAAAAATTACCTGTTCTGATGTTTTCTTTTAAAATGGAGTTTGATGACGGCAATACAAACACAACCACAAACACAAACACAGGCCATCACGGATAAAATGATCCAGGTGGAATCTGTGAAAAAGGGGAACATGAGTGACAAACACTCAACATTCATAAAGAAACTACAGATCAAAAGGTAAATGATTGAGAAACTTAAGAATGAGATTCATCATAAATCTGAAAAAACAACCAACAACAAAAACCAAAAAAACGATGAGGCTATAAAGTATTTGGATCCGGTCTCCTGAAGTGGTGATTTGCGACAGTGTTTCTTCACAGACCAGCAGGCAGCACGACTGTCTTGGACATCAAGGAGAGTCATCGATAAACATTCCTGCTATCTGAGGAGCCAACTGGAGAGGCACTCGCGCTGCACATCGCAACCTCGTGCGATTTCGTTGCCGACGGGGTAATCCAGGAACAGCAAACAGGCCGTGTGTGGGTGACATGCGGAGCTGTGTTACCCGTTCGGTGTTGGTGACACTGACGAGAGCGAATAAATGATGTTGAGAAGTGAGTGGGTCTTGTGGCCAGGAACTTTAGAGGCAAGTACATGGCTTACTGTGGGAGCAGGCTCGGACGGCCGGGCCGAGCAGGACACAAGCGACTCTTCAGGATGAGTTGAATTCCTCGTAACGATGTAGGATGTGGTTCGCATGCCAGCTGCGTGCACAAGGACACACAGCGGGACACAGCAGCACGATTACCAATGAAAGGTGATACAAAGACATCAGCTTCCTTGACAGGAACACACAGTGACATATTTTAGCACTGATAAAGGCCCACCAGTTGTTCCACTCATGAGCGCTTGAAAGATGAAATTCCCGGATGGGGAAGTGTTGTACTGCCCAGAACTTAGAGTGATTAGTTATTGTGCGAAACCGATCCTAATAATGAATAAAGGATATCTTAACCATAAGAGGATTTGATGCCAGGTTTTTTTTTACCAATAGGAGAGCAGCCTTCAGTGGTTAGATAAAAAACAGTGATAGCCAGCCTTCATCCCTGCTCGTGCTCAGCGTCCTGATAACATATGGAGTCGTGTCTGGCAGCTCCAGCATCTTTAAACTACCACTTTTATTCAATAAAGTTTAGGAAGACTCTTTCGGACAAAGGCGTGATGCTGGACAGTGCAACAGTTTCTCTCGCTTCAGGTTTCCACCATGCTGACCTTGAACAACATCGGCTTTATTGTGCAATCAGCTGACAGTTCTAAATCGGCCTCTGGTCTCCCCCACTGGCTGATCAGCAGTTGCGTGTCTATGTCACCAGAGCGTGTAGACCATGCGAGGAGAGGTAACAGAAAGAGTTATCCAGAGCGCTGTGCTTCAGTGCTGTTGTGTGTGTGGGTGTTTTCATACGGAAGTCCAAGCAAGTGGACGAAGGCGTGAACGCGATTTTTCTTCTGCACAAATAAGATATAAAAATATGAATTTAAGCCAATAACCGAGCAATGAAATGATTCTTATAAAATGACGCCGCACCAGCCGCTGAATACAATAAAAAAGAAGCATACAGGAGAGTCGACACAGCTAGTGCTCGTTACCTACAATGTATAGGAAAAGAACATTGTATGTATCATCTCTTTCTCACTTCATGAAAGAACTCCAAACGTGCTCAAAACCAGATATGTAAGCTACACCACCTATGGCCGAATCTTCCCCTTCGTGTGGGCAAGAGCATCACTGTGGACAGGTAAGTTCCAGACAGAGTGAGCTGTTGGTCACCGTGCGATGCCATAAACACCTATTAACGGAAACATGAAAAGGAATTATGGCGATTCAGTGGGTTAAGTAGAATTCACAAAAGACCTCGTTTCGTTAATAAGAAATTGGCACAATTAAAAGTTGTTTAATCAAAATATAAACAACGCTGGGACTGTGACGTAACCTAAAAAAGGAGACAGTGAAGTATAAATTATTTCTTTTTCTTTTTTTTTTATGTTCATTTTTTTTATATTTTTTCTAGACTTTAGTTTTTTTTAATATATGTCTTCCTTTGTTTCATGCATGTTTTTACATTTTATTCTCTGTAGATTTTGTTATTATATAGTTATAGTTTATCACTTTCACTTTCAGTCCCTTTAGTAGGATATACTCTCACTTGTTTCCTCTCTTTTTTTTATCTCGTATCTGTTATGTTGTGTTGTTTTTTTTTTTTTTTTTTTGTTTTGAGGGTTTTGTTTTTTTTTGTTTAGGTGTGTTTATTGTAGACTGCCAACTTAATATTATTACTATATTATATATTGATATTATTCGTTTGTTGTTTATGTTTATTGTGTATAATTCTTTATATTGCCATTTGTAACTGCTATTAGTTATGTCATTTAACAATAAATAACATTTCCTATTTATTGTTACCTTTGTTAGCTACGTACTGATATTAGACTTGAATTGATGTTTGTGCTAAGCTAAGCTCAACAACTGGTGCGATCTTCTCATTAAAGCACAAAGTCAATACAGGTAAAACACAAGATTTAAAAAATAAATGACAATGCAAAACAAATAACACAGAACACATTGTACAGAGAGATGTACATTTAAAGGTTTGAGAGCATCATTCGTGGATAGTGAGTCAGTAAAATCTAAAAGGTAGATAACGAGGAAGAGATTGAGAGAATAACACTGAAAAAAGCATTTTCTTATTGTTTGACTAAATAACCATAACTTGCTGTTTTCTCTGTGGTTATAAAAGGACAGAAAGCAGAAAAACATTGTAAACAATATCCATTTATTTAGATATTCCAGAAATATTCTGATATACTGTCGTTTATTCTAACTTTACACAAAGAAGACATAATTTGACACAGACACGGTACATTTAAAGGGAACTTAGATTCAACAGTTCAATGGCCTTCTGACTATAAACCTCTTTGTATTTCTTTGTAAGACTTTAGTATGATGTACAAGTACAATGTGTGTTTTATGGATTTGAGATAGATAGATTGAGATAGATGTTTTGCATTGTGTTAAAAAAAATGAAACTAAGAATGTGTTGAGCTGACATGATAGGACAAGAATGCATTACAGAAACATTTACTTACTGCTTTTACTCTGTCGTACTCTCAAACATTTTGGGTCTTAAATTAGCTAGAAACAGAGGAGTAATATGTGTTTTATTAAGAATACAATTTAAATATTATGTCCTCTCTATTCCCACTGCATAATGCGTAAACAGTACACAATCTCTATGTACCCAAATGATTACAGTATTTTCACAAATAGTCCAAACAAACAACGTAAATTACAGCACTGACATACAGCAGAGAGAAGCAGCCGATAACAAAACACTCACAGTGCGTTGGCGTGGGTTATGGCACATATCGATCCTGCACTATGTGATTTAACATCATCATTATTATCAGTAACATGATCAGTCATTAATAGACTGCAACAGACTTCTACATGAAAGCAAGGTAAGATAGTTTAACATACAAAAAGTGTGTTTTATCTTAAAATAAATGGTTATATATGCAGATCTTTTTCAGGTTTACAGAATAAACTCATATAAACAGACATGTGTATATTGACAGACGTTAATATGTTAATATTTCTCTGTTAAGGCATGGAATGAGCAACGAGGTAACAGCCATCTACTGCATCGCTTCATCACAGTCGCAATTAAAGGAGTCTGTGAGCGTAAGACAACATCACAGACACACAAACTAAACCAGCACTGCAACATCAGGACGAGTGACTGAGTAAATGTTACACGTTTTTCTGAATTCATATTTTAGACCACTGAAACACAAGATAAAGATACAGTCTTTGGTCAAACTTAAAATAGTCTGTTTAGACACTGAGCAGCACAACACACACTGTAGAATTGGAGGGATATGTTTGACATTATGATTGCACAATGATTGGTTTATCTGCTGCTGAACTGCATTAAAATGTTCGCTGAACAAGTCAGTGGTGGATTTGTTGTTTAAATCCTTGACAATTTCCAGTGCACCGAAAAACCTAAATAAAATAAAATGACAAGACAGACCAAACGCATTCAAAGATCATCTGAACTTAATTTTAAAGGGTACTCCGAAAGCTGTTAGCTGTTTTCTCCCCACACTGATTAAATTTAGCCCTCATTGAATTGATCTAATCATGTGGAATATGAAATATATGAAATACTAAATCAAAATGAACATGTCTGGATAAGAAAAAAGTGGATTTAGTTTAAGCTTTGGCTAGCTTTGGCTAACCGTGGCTACTGGTGGAATTCCCCTTTAAAAACAAACACTGGAGTAGCACTGGATTTAAGTGGGAAAAACAACAATGATTTGTTACCTACTCGACTTGTTCCATGAACATTTTTACAGTTTTATCAACATACTGAATAACATAATAATCTTCTAAAATATAAAATCTTTCATCTCCTGCTCCTGTTGATCACATAGTGTTTAATATACATATACTGTGTTGTATATTTACTGTATATCATCATCTTCATTTCACCCATAGCTTTAGAATAGCTCTTAATATACTATTTATACAAGTTCTGCATCCCTTTATAATCTTTGCAACACTTTAGACACGTAAAAGTTATATCTCCTTTTTTTAAATTTCTCTGTGATAGACCTCTTAAATGTTTAATTATTAGACGCATTCATTAGTTAAATATCAATCAATTAACCATTTCTTTATTTACCTTCATTAATAATTTTGTGTAACATAAAATAGAATTAAAAAATAAATCTTTGATCACATGATTTCATATTTCTATGATAAAAGAGACAAAGGTAGATTGCTGCTGAAGTATACATTCAACCCACAGGGTGTGTAGCCATAAGAACAGGTAATGATTTTCATGTTGATATTCAACACACTAAAAAGATACAATAAAAGACCTACAGAGAGAGGAAGGGTCGTTTTCAGGAGTGAACACTTAAGTTAAAACTAAACTAAACTACACTGAGGAGAGAGCAGCTTAGCTTCAGGGCAAAGCTGAGGGGAAGAAGAATGAAATCAAGTCAGTGGGTTGTAGACATACTTGAAGAGGCAGGGGGTTAGTGTGGAAAAACAGACGTCTCCTGTCTGTACATTCCCTTTCTTTCCATCTAGGTTCTTTTAGATTGTCAATCAATCAAACCTAAATGTACACGTTGTGTACATGAACATGTTTCTGTTTTTGCTCATAAATGTTTAGAAATGTGTGCCGCGCAGCCTCCCTGTTATTTGTACCCTGCAGGTATCTGTATGGCATTTGGCTTGGGCTACAAATAGAAAAATACAATCCTCTCACACGTGGGACTCGTCCAGGTCCAGGTCGACAGGGGAGAGGGGCAGGGGTGAGCGGCGGGGCAACCGGCGGGGCGAGGAATGGGACAGCAGCGGGGTGAGGAGAGGGTTCTCTGTGCCATCGTCCTCGCTGAGCTGCAGCAGGGTGTCGCTGCGCGGCAGGAGAGCCGTCGTGTCCTCATCCCCGGGGCTTTCTCTGATCCTGGGTGGCCCTGGCGGCGGGGGAGGCAGGAGAGGGGTCGGTGGCAGCGGCGGAGGTGGCGGGGGGCCCGGGGCGGGTGCTGTGCCCAGCACCGGGAGC